ACCATAGGATATCCGTAAAAACAATTTCCCGGCTGTCACCTGAAAGCAACGCTTTCATCAGAGCCCAATCATTTTTGACATTTTAATCCTTATAACTGAAATAAACCTCTACTGCAGAGACACAGGGTACAACACGGCTAAAGCAGACCCTGAGGTAAATGTCTTATTGATTTGAATTGCTCCTAAAGCACCAAATGAAAACAAAAAATATCACCACAGGAGTTTCTTAAACTTTTTTATTAGTATTAAATATCACAGAATGTAAAATCCACATGTTAAACTGGGATGCAGAGATGAGGTGAGGATCTAGTTGCTGCAACTTATCCTTTATGTGCAAGAACAGAAGATATAAAACACTTATGAACAGACTCTTTGCAAGAACAAAACAACGAAGCTAATTGCTCTTAATTTGACTGCTGCATTAATTTGTGAAAAATACTAGTTTCAATTAGAAAGGCAGAATAATGCTGGAGTTCATATAAAATTAATTTTGGTTCACTTGCAAAGGGCAGAATGAAAGCGAACCACACCAAATAAAAAATAAATCAACATTGTATATGGTCCAGACCAAGGCGCTGGACTTTAAGGCCTCCCTCTATAACCCACTGGCAAATGAGATGCAAACAGGAGCTCTCTGAATATTCAACATTGTAATGAATTAACCATGAATTGGTTCTATGAGATTTTTATGAGAAAGTTTCCACTCCATTACCTCTTAAACTTATTAAAAAAAAACATACAATATTAATTATGATAACTTTATTTAAATCTGTGTGGAATAAATTACCATAGGGCACATCATGATCCCCTATAATTTTGTCAAAAAAGAGACTCTTGACACAAGACTGCTAATGCTTTAAACATAGATGCCTAAATTAATATGAAAAAACTTACTACAATACTCAGAACCTCAAAAAATGTAAAAATGTTTTGATCTCTGTCAAAAAACAAACAAAAATCCACATATTTGGTACTAAGTAAGGTTGATGTATTGTTCACAACTGTGGTAAATGTAATAATTGCCTTATGAATATTTTAAAAAAGTGACAGCCCATGATATCTGAACTCAAAACTCTTCAAAGACAGGGTAGAAAAGACTTCAAGTTTGTGCTTGCTTTTTTAATAATAAAATCTATTTCAATCTTAGAAAACTAGCAGCCCTAGTAGTAATGAAAAGATTTATCTTGATCTCCGTCCACTATAAAAAAAAATCATCTTGTAAAAAAAAAAAACAGTAAACTACTGGGGACTGTGGTTGCCAGCATCATACAGTAAATATACAGTGTGTTACTGTTTTTGAAATGAACAGCTAAATACCGTATTGTCAGCTACAGTATAAAACTTTAATTTAACTGCTCTATGCTCAAACACAAAAAACAGTAACACACCGTATAGTTGCGGTATGATATTGGCAACCACAGCTGCCAATAGTTTAACCTTTTTTTTAACAGGATTTTTTACAGTGTAAGACTATCTTCTTTCAGACTAATACAATAGAAGATATATTAAAAAATACCCTGGCTCTTCTCCATAAGACTCTGATTCACTATAACTGATATAGTGGGACCCACCACATCCAATCAGAAGTACATGACATGACAATCAGAAGTACATCCTAATAGGCTTAAATAAGTAACATGTCTGCCACTTTTGTTCTGGCAAAATGAAAACTTAAATGTTAAAACTTACAGCACCTTGTTTGTGTGGGTGTTCCTCAAGGCCCACACATACTTGCTGTCCATGGAATCATGGAACGTGACCAATACACAACGTCACATAAATAGACCACACCAGATCATGTAGGCCTATCTTTTGTTTAATGAGAACTGTCACTGAGTGGCTCTCAGTGAAGTCAGTCAGTTTAATTCCATGTTAAAATGACTGTTTTGAAAAGCATATTAGTCATATGCTTGACTATGCGTGTCATTGCTTCTGAGGACTGAATCTGAGCATTTTAAAAATTGGCTTGTCAGTAAAGTCACAGGGTCCACTCAAGGAAGAAGTCAATTTAAAAGTGTTCGTTCATTTAGTCAGACCGAGACTGACTGAAAATGAGTCTTCAATTTATGACAGGCCATTAATTCAACCGTACTCACATTTGCACTGAAACTAAAATTCTCGGTCACATGAGGTACAATATGTGGTGTTCAATGGTCAGAGGGTAGGCCCGCTCGATACTTATAACATGAACATAAGAGATACCAGAGCAGATCATTTCTGTTACTAATGAGACCTTCCTGTAAGGTGAATCTCGTAATTAAGAGAAAATTGGCGACCATGACGGAACTGACATTTACCTTATGAAAACGGCCCTGTTTTAAATAGCACACTCAGCCCTACACACTATCCTAATGGGAAAAAAAGCCTCATTAAAAGAATAAAATTATTTTATTGTAATAAAGTCATATACTGTGGGCCAGAAGTACTAACGCTTTTGTGCTAAAACCGAGAAGCCTGTCCTGGGAACTGAAAATGGCAAAATGTTCATCATCTGAAATCGTTTAAAGCCCTTTAAACAGTTTGCAGTTTGCACTGAAACTGTCTTTTGGACCTTGAACCGTTTGGTTCCCACTGAAGTCCATTATATGGAGAAAAATCCTAGAATGTTTTCATCAAAAACATAACCCTAACCCTAACCCTGAAGAAAGAATGACATGGACATCTTGGATGACATGGGGGTGAGTAAATTATCAGCAAAATGTTTTTTTAAAAGTGAACTACTCCTTTAACCCCTAAAAGTCTTCACATTGTAAAAAAAAAATGATATGATCAATTTATCCAAGTTGATAGTAAAAAATTTAAAGCAGCTATACTTTATTTTATTTTTTACAGTGCACCAGTTTGAAAAGACTACCTGGGTTTGCCTTTGAGAAGAAGTAATAATGTTTGAAAAATATAGTCTGCACACATTATGGCTTGTGTGGCAGCTCTAAAGCTCAGTGGGATTAGTGGTCTCCCAGGCAGTGTAATTAGGATGCTGTGGATCCATAATCTGTCATGGCTCACTAGAAAGTATAATCACTGTGTAGCTAATTACAATAAATCCAGGAGCAAAGTTAGACAATCAGTCGTCTATCAATCAGAAGGCCAGGTGGATTAGAGAGGGTTGAGAGCACCTCTCTTCACTTGGCTCTGTTTCCCCTTTCCTCTATTTAATTCCTCTCTCCCTCGCTCTTATTTGTTGAAGCACAACAACTTATGTCTGTCATTTCTCTGGGAAATCGAGTGCATGAGTTACTGCATTGAGTAAAATCCCTCACATTATTCACTGACCTGAACAGACCATTTATTCCCAGAGCACAAAGCTCATGGTGAATACGAATGAGTGGAAGTCAACAGTCAACCCTGTGAGGGCTAAAGATTGACTCCTCTGAGGCTCAGTGGTGTCTAAATGCAAATATTAGTGCATTACTCAGAGGTGATCTTGGGTGAAATGAATTTCTCGGGTTCTGTTGATGCACAGCTAAATTATACAGAAGAAATTCAAACTCTTTGCTGATATTCTTGGCCATAGGTTCAGCCTGGTCATCTTAGGGAGGAAGGACTCACCTATCGAAGGAGCGATGGCAGAAGTGAACACCGAACTGCTCTGAAAAAAAAAAAAAAAAGTCATTCCGGCACCAAGCAGAATGGCAACCAGTAAACCAGTCAAACGGGAAAGGAAAGTCTGCAGGAAAGTGATTTGTTTATCACCTAAAAATGCTGGGAAAATGACAAGATAATTGAGGCTCCCATCAGGGTTTCTCAGACTGAAACACTGGATGAACCTTTTAGCATGCTTTCAAAAAGGGAAGCAGTCAGAAGCTGAATAAGTGCTTATTGGAGCCTACAAGTTCTTTCAAAAACTCAAGTTAGATGCGTTCCTGTGTCAACATATTCTGTTGATCCTGGAACAACATTACTGTCTGAAAATGTAATCCTACCCATGAGTCATCCCTAAAATCAGATAGGTGAATAACACTGATAGCACTTAAAGGGTTAGTTAACCTAAAAAAAAAATGTCATTAATGACTCACCCTCATGTCGTTCCAAGCCTTTAAGACCTTCGCTCATCTTCGGAACAGTTTAAGATATTTTAGATTTAGCCCGAGAGCTTTCTGTGCCTCCATTGAAAATAAAGACATCATCAAAGTGGGTTAGTTAGAATGTTTTGAAGCATCGAAAATACATTTTGGTCCAAAAACAGCAAAAACTACGACTTTATTCAACATTGTATTGTCTTCCGGTTCTGTTGTCGAGCCGCGTTCAGTGATGCTGATGAAAACAGTTGAGTTTTACCGTTTTCGAATCCATTCAGCCGATTTTATGATATTTAGAAAAATACCAGACAGTTTCTGGTCTTATTGACTTCCATAGTAGGATGTAAAATGAGCCTATTTACAAAAAAAAAGTGAGTATCCCTGTAAGCTTAGAGTTGATTTTAAGATCCTTATGTTTGTTTATAAGGCGTTGTCCTGCTGTGCACATTTGTGATCTTATTGTGCCATATTGTCCTGTTGTTGTTGTTGTCATCAGTGTCACAGCAGACTCTTGACCGTGGATTGACAACAGAACCGGAAGACAATACAATGTTGAATCAAGTCGTAGTTTTTGTTATTCTTGGACCAAAATGTATTTTCGATGCTTCAAAACATTATAACTAACCCACTGATGTGGCATGGACTACATTGATTATGTCTTTATTTTCTTTCTGGACAAGGACAGTATATCGTACATACATAACTAAATCTAAAATATCTTAAACTGTGTTCCGAAGATGAACGGAGGTCTTACGGGCTTGGAACGACATGAGGGTGTGTGTGAGTCAATAATGACATCATTTTCATTTTTGGGTGAACTAACCCTTTAAACCTGGTTGTAAGACAAGGATAATATGTGCAGTATTATGAGAGACATAAAATAAAAATGAAATCACTAATAAATAAAATGATAGAAAATAGACATCTTTTAATATCAAACAGATATATTGTGACTGTTTAAAAAAAATCGAAATTGTTCAGAATAAATATCATAAATATGCTGATTGGACCATCAATATTCATAAAATGCAATACAGTGAACCATGTGGTCAAATAAGAAAAAAATATCGGAGAGAAATATTTTATGAAGGCATTTCACACGACTCCTGTCCTGACAATCACATTAACTCTATAAACGGGTATTTATTTACCTGTGTTGATGATTTTCTGGATCGCTTTAGCCACTTGTCCCTGGAGGAGGGAGTTTAGAGAAGCTTAACCAGCATCAGGAGGCAGGTGCAAAGCACCAGCAGTGAAAAAGACAGCAGAATCAAGCCCACCGCCAGATCAGACAATCCCGTCTCCACAAATAGATGAGTGCCTGCTCCAATACACACATGCATTTACATCGTCACTCTCCTGTGGAAATGTGCCCGTCAGTCACGCATTGACAGGCATGTGTTCATGTTAACAGTGATTAGCCCATCAGCTGCAGATTATGGGATGTGTTCGAAAAGGACTTTAGATTCTTACAAAAAATTGGCTTCTAAAAATGAGGCCCATGTTTATAATTGAGGGCTTGAGTCATACTGTCCCCTGATAAATATGTATATATTACCTATTTTTTCTCATTATGATGGCTCATGAGATTATATTGTCTCAAAGTCAATATGTGAGGCAGGATGACTCAAAAGCTCATTGAAAGCTTGCTTCCTAAAACAGCATGTACGCTGTTTGTTACTGTTGTTGATGTCGAATGTGTAGTTAGTTTTACACAAGCATCTGACTCAGAGGCTTTCTATCGCAGGATGTGCTAATACAAAATAAATGACAGTTATTAACCAAGACGGAGCTCTGAGTAAATGCAGAAGAGCCAAACAGTCTACAGAGAGACTCAGAAAGACATTTCTCTGTATTAAAACGTCTTAGAGTTTGAAGCCAGATAGAATGGATAACAATACTGTTTTATTGCAAAAGTATGCATAATACGACTATAAAGGCCGATTGATCAAAGGAAGGCTCTATTCTGTGTTTTTGTCCATTTTGTTCGCCATCCCATTGAAATTTGACTCACATTTTTCGGCATTCATGTGAAGTGATGTGGTTGGTACAGCTGAGGCTTCTGAATGCGGAAAAGAAACATTCTCTTGGATCTGTGGATAAAAAAAAAATTAGATAACGTCATGTGCTCCGTCAAAAATCTTCATCTAGGCAAACAGAAACGTTGCTCACCATGATCCGTGTCTGACAACACAGTTTTATCAGGCTCTTATTGCGCAGCACCTCTTTCCCTGTGGCTATAACTACGATTACAGTCTTATCCAGCTGAAAGGGAAAGATAACATTTTCTTTTAACTCTCTAAGATTAATGACAGACTGAAGAGTACCAGAGGGTGAACAGTATGATATTTAATTAGCCTACAGACGTTTTAAAGTACATTTGTCATTAGTTTTCTTGTTAAATTCTGTGTAGCTTGTTAAATCAGAAATAAATCACCAAAAACCCATCATTATCAAATCACCAAAAATACACTTAATCCAAACTTTCTTCCTTCCGTTGAAAACAAAAAGAGATGTTTTGAAGAATGCTCATGCTGATCTTTTCCATACAATGAAAGTGGATGATTATGAAGGGCTGTCAAGCTCCAAAAGAGTAAAAAAAATAAAATAAGAGCACAATAAAAGTTGCGAATAAGACACATTCTAAAGGTGCTGTTACAAAAAAAGGTCCATTGTCTATTGTCAATACTGTGGTGATTCTGTGAATGCACTTTCAAACTGTGACAAGGTTTGTGTTTGTAGTCTCATAGAACTAGAAATATAATTATTATTATTAAACTTTATAACTATAGATTACCTTTTTATAGATTAGATTAGTCATTTATAATTACCTTGGTGTGAATGGCACTTAAGTCTTCTGGAGACAGATTTGTGTGAGGAACAGACCAAAATGCAAAACAATATTCTCTGAAACATTTATCGCATAACTTCAGAAAAATGTTCAATAAAGCATGAGTCACTTTTATGATATGGTGATTTTGTCATTTTTCAATATTGACAGCCTTTCAAATGTGTAGCCTACGCTTTTGTTTTCCACAGAAGAAAGAATGGCGTCCTTGCTAATCCTGGAACAAATTTCTATCAACCAATCAGATTGAACAATAATGCAGCACCTGTATAATACTTTTGGTGAGGGGTTCTGTGATGACTTTCAAGAGCCCTGGACCATCCTCCCCGGTCACGATGTTGAAACTTTCAACCACCGCCTCCGACGCGAGCCTCATCACGCCAGTGACGGCTTCCAGCGGCAGTAACACCAACACTGACAGCCAGTTAAAGCAATCGTGCACTGTGGCACCCCCAAAGGCTCTGAAACAGTCCCACGCAGAAAGTGTCATTAAAGAGCTCCAAACTTTTTATTGATGGTTGAATGCTGACAGTGTGAGGTGCTGTATGCTCTCTACCGTTTGAACTCCTCTCTCTCCCCTGCCTGCATTAGAGCCACTATGGTAGCCTATTGGTGACAGATGTGCCAATGTTTGATCCCATGATGATGGGAATGGCAGATCCAACATCAAACACTGCATGAAACGGAATGTAGAAACCCGATCGCTAGATGTGAGTCACGTTTCGATAACAATCATCCTTATAGGCAGTTGAGGATGCTATACGCCTTATTCACGGCAGCGCCATCTTTGATTTTTAATGAGAATGAAAGCGAGGCTGTGAGGGATAGTCATGCATCTCTTCAATGGGCTGTACTGTTATTTAATGTGTTTTCGGATTTTTCTGCTCATGAAACACTAAAAAAAAATATCTTTTCAAGAAATTTCAGTTGATAAAAAACTCCCGACAATGTAAGCTGTGGAAAATTGTAAGTAATCTAGGAGCTTTATTCAGCTTTTTACAGCGGATGCCATTGGAAACACGATAAGTCTATCCCTCACAGCCTCACTTTCATACCTGTGTTGGCGCTGCTCTGAATAAGGTCTATTGTGCACAAAATGTTCATTCTCAGGAAGTAAACTGCTTCTCTCCAAATAAATAAAAATCTTGATTTGAGTTTAAAGGAGTAGTTCACTTTTGAAAAACTTTTGCTGATAATTTACTCACCCCCATGTCATCCAAGATGTCCATGTCATTCTTTCTTCAGTCGAAAAGAAATTAAGGTATTTGATGAGAACTTTCCAGCATTTTTCTCCATATAATGGAATTCAATGGGAACCAAACGGTTCAAGGTCCAAAAGACACTTTCAGTACAAAAGCAATTGCGCGCACAACATATATAAGATAAAAAGAAAACGGCATGCTCAGTATACCTCATCATATAATGATCCTCTACGCACCTGGCTGCATGTGTATTCATTTATCCGCCAGCATTTATACATGCTATCTCAGTTTGGGGGACAAAGTCACTCATTATGCAGTGCATAGTTAAAAAGTAAATAGAAAAACATGGGGAAGTTGCACATTTACTAAAGAAGCCTCAAATGATTTTATTCAGAATGCTTTAGCTGTGACAGAGCACTTTGATATCCAGAGCAATAACTGTGTTCATTTCTCTCTGAGGGGACAAAGAATGGACTGTGGGACACCAAGTGGTGAGACACTGATGAATGGTTTGTATATTTCCAGACCTGCTTTCCAATTATATCGTTTGATTGTAGATACTGACTTGTGCATAATGCATCAATGGATAAATTATAGATGTCCAGATTTATAGAAGGCATGCAGAGTTAAGTGTCAAATAATCAGTCACACAATAATATAAGATGCATGAATGAATAGCATGCCTTCACACACTGAACTATAAAATCCAGCCAATCAATTTTCTGGAATGAGTGACCCTGCAAATTGAATGACCTCACAGGTCACATTTAAACAGTCCCATTATTAACATTAGTTAAAGGTGCCATGTGTAAGAATTGAATATTCAAAAAAATGAGCTACACATAAAAAGAATGAGAAGAAATAAGGTTGATGATGTCATTAAAAAAATGACAAGTTATTGCGCTGCAGAATTAGCATGCTAAGTTACTAGCCTCGGCCCGGCAGGTGTCGTAATACCAGTTTCGTCCATGGGAGGCGATGTGCGGGCGGGCAACATAACCACCAGCCAAACTGCAATACTCAAGTAACTCGCACGGCTTTGAACCTGATGTCAATCGCGTGGAAAGTACAACCCACTACTACATTTCAGTTCAGGGAAGAGTTCAAAAAAATGATTGGTGGATATTATGCATGAGGAATACATTTTGGTAAGTTGCATCATACTGTGTGTATATCAACAGTGTTCGTGTTCTTTTACCGTTAGCTAGTAGAGATGATCGGTTCACGTGCGCTAGGGATCTGTTGTGTAACATTTACAAGCGCCAAAACGAGTTTTTTTTCTACGTCATAACTAACCTGCTCTGTCTAGTGTGTCAGTCTCCGTGTCCTTTTCTGTACATGACAAAATTGATGTGTGGCGTGAGAGCGCGTGAAAAGTGAAAAGTCTCACGGTGAATTCGTGAGAGTTGGCAGCTCTGAATGACGCTAGCTTGGTCAACATCAGCGAATGCTGTCTGTCAAATTAATTCAAACTAACAATAAAAATATAATATGAACACAACGAATACCATAAATAATAGCCCGGGCTTTTATTTTCCCATATCGTCGAAATGCACCGGCTTGTATTTGAGACAGGCGTCTATGAGACGGCCTTTGTAATTTAGTGTTGAGATGTTGTTCATTGAGTCTCTAATCTCTAAAAATCCCCAAATGCTCCACGTGAAACTGCGGTCTTCCAACCTTTTACTATTGTGTCAATTGATTTGATTAAAATGCGCGAGGGAGAGGGAGCAAGAGAGCCTCGCTCGTGTTGTTTGAAGACGTGAGAGTTTACGCGCACGGCCGCGGCACAACTCAATTTCTGGAGGTATACTGCCCCCATCTGGTATGGAATATGGATTATGATTTGATTTTTAAATGCCCATCTTTAAAATTGGCAAAAAAGGGTTGCATAACATAAAGAAGGACACGTGAAACCTAAACACGATGCTTAAACATTTATTTCAATCACAAAAACCATCATGGTCACACACAACACCTCCGCACTTACTCCCATTTTTCCTCAACATGAGGACAAGAGAGCTATCAGTCAATGAATGGGAAAACAAAGTAACTTCTGTTACTTGTTTGAAAAAGTAACCCAGATACTGTAAATGTAAAAGTAATGTGTTAGTTACTTTAAAAAAGTAATCTGATTATGTAACTCGAGTTATTTGTAATGAGTTACCCCCAACACTCCTATCTACGTATTCTGCTATCCTGAACCCTAACCAAAACACTACTACAGTCTACAAATACTCTGAGAGTTAGTTGGCATATAGTTGCAAAGTTACTTGATTGTCTAAAGTGAACCAATCAAAAATAAAGTGTAACCATATTGACTTAATGATATTAACAGATACATATTTCGCTTTTTAATAATGTATTGGTAAATGTTAAAATGAATATGAACTGAATTAATTTATTAATATTAATGAATGCTTTATCAGTATTATTCATTGTTATATCATGTAAACCTTATTGACCAGACCCCTATTATACCAACTTACAATTAACTGTACGATTCTCAATTAATCTCTCAAGATGTTGCTCGTTAGTTTGTTTTTTTTAAAGTTTTTTTTTTAATGTTTGTACTAGTAGTCGGACATTCACAACACAGAGGTGAGTTCGATAAAAATAAAGTTTCCCCCCAAACATTCCTATAATTTACGTCTCAGCCAGCTGGCAAACATGAACACCCATGAGCAATGAAATGAAAGCTTGACAGTATTGATTTGTTTCCTCATAAAGTGTCACTCTGAGCACATTATATCCCGAAACTCTAATTTTCTAACCCCGGTAATCTGCTTCGGGGAACCTGCCCTTCAGGATCATTCCGTGCTCATGCCGTGAGCTCACTGTGGTGATGTGACAATGGAGCAACAGCCCTAATGATCCGGCCCACAGTAATTTTCAGTGCAAAATAAGCAGTAGGTGAAAGCTCATGATGTGAACTCTCGGCATCTGTCTGTTGTCAGTCAGGGGACACTGGCATGGTTGTTAGCAATAAATATGGAGTGGTAGCTTTTGACTGCATTGGGAAAATTTGAAACACAAATTTGGAAACTTCGAATAGAAATAGAAATCCAGATTTTAATGATATTGGTTTAATCACCATAGTCATCAAACAGCATTACAAGTTGCTTATTCTCCACCTCACACTGTTAAAATCGTGTTGTAAATCAGTATTTTTGTAAATGTAAAGAAACATATGTTGAAAGTCAAGATGACGCTTCCAAAAGCAGCTGCATCACAAACCATGAGTAAATAATTTCATAATGCTTTGTGTCTGCTTTTTTTTAGCCAGCCATAACAGTGGCCGTTTACTGATAAGCCTTAAGGATATTTCGATTAGATATGATTTAAATATTTTAGATTTTAGAAAAAAAAACAAATCATTTCAGTGCACTTCAAATCCAAAATATACTTTTTTGAATATTATGATAGTGTTTGTGAAAAGTTGTTTTTATTTCTATTTTATTTAGATTTTACAAGCCACAAAAAAAATTCAAGATTTGTTATCACAACATTTTTTCTTTTGTCAAATCAACTTAAATAATTTATTTAGTTCAGATAACTTATTATTTTGAGTTTCTGATGATTAAATCAATCTCCTTCATTGTTTTAACTCATTTTTCCAGTTTTCAATCAACTTAAAAATTTTAGGCAACCAGGTTACTTATTTTTTTGTGCATGCATTAACCTACTAATATGAATTGCACACACAAATCGAAAATTGACATATCCATTTCTGCATTTATTTCACAAACATCTTTAGGCTGATATACAAATTAAAGAAGCTACACATGATTATTGTTGGTTTTCTTCTATGCTGACTAAACTAAAATCACAATTGCATAAACAAAGACACTGAATCATCCTCTTGTTATTACCCATAATTCAGGTTGATCTCTCTAAATCCCATAGCCCGAGAGTTTGAATCCGGCAATCATTTGAACTCCTCGGATGAGGCACTCAGTTCTGAGGTCTCCTATAAAATACACAAACCATTAGACACAATATAATCGAGGATATTAAACATGAGACACATTATAAAGCAGCACTAAAAATGCTGGGTTGTTTTAACCCAATTTTGGGTAAAATATGGACAAACACAAACATTGGGTTAAAATGTAATTTAAAAAATGTAACCCAATGGCTGGGTTTGTCCATATTTGACCCAAAATTGGGTTAAAACAACCCAGCATTTTTGAGTGCGACAGCACACGCAGTACTGACTGGTCTTGGGACTAATCTTTGATCTCATTTTTTTCAAAGTCAAGTTAAAGCAGCCCATAACCCATAATTTCATGTTTACCTCAAGTTGTTCGGTTTCTGGTTTAGCCGGAAGAGATTTTTGTGGAGTATGAAAGGCCTGTGGCAGGAGGGCACAAACCAAAGACTTCAGAATCCAGTAAGAGGATTTCTGAACACATGCACATTTACTCAGCTATCTAAATGACGACATACACCGTCCAAAAATTACTTTTTGCTTGGTATATATTTTAATACACATTTTTAAAACCTATCTTGCCCAGCGAGTGCATATTAGTCCCTTGAGAAATTAATTGCATTTATAAAGATTTTTTTACACTCCTGTTAAAAAAATAAAAGGGGGATTTGTTGTCAATTTACCCAGTGACAAGCTTAAGGTACAATTTTGCACATATTTACTGAAAGTGTTTATCACTTTACAAGTTAATTATTATTAGTGTTAATTTTTATTTTATTTTTTAAAAATTCTATGCGCTCAAAAGAAGCCAGATATTACCAATATAATAATAAAAATAAAAGTGTTAAAATATTAAAAAGTAAAAAAAATAAGTATTGTTATTATTATTATTAGGAAATTGTCCGAATGAGGACACCACTATGGATTCAAAAAAGGTAGAGACACTTTGTCTCCAAGAAAATCCACACACACACACACACATTTAAAGATTATTCCACCATATCACTAGATGGTGCTGGACAGCTGCTGAAATCTTCAGTAGAGTGACACACTGCTTGTAAAAACTGAAATCTGACCATACAAAAAAAAATAAAAAATAGAGCATCAACGCTCATAATGATTACATCGACGCATTTGGCTATAAATTCAATAAAATATTATTCCTGACAATAGAAAAAAAAACATGTAATCATGTACAAATGACACATTGTCATATACATGCACAAAAGGCTCATAAAGATGTTGAAATGTGTTGGCTATTACCTTTTTGGCTTGCTGTACCTCTTCTGTGGACTTGGATCTATTTTTCACTGTCTGTTTTTGGGGGGAGATGGTGGACACCTTGAGGGAATGAAAATAAGATGGGCTCAGACCAGAAAATCATCAACTTTCACTAATGAAAAATCTGTGTTTTCTAGGACCATTTCCACTCTCATGGTTCAGTCTCCACTCACTTTATTCTCTGTTCTTTCCATGTCTTGGCTTGAGGAAATCAGCTGTCAGGTAAAGTAGTCAAAGCTTTTGGTTATCTGAAAATATGAAAGAGATGGAGAACAACAACATTAACCATGACAATACTTCACAAAGATATATGTAGCACCTATTTATTAGTTATCCCATTAACCTGTTCTGTCAATTAACTCATTAATTCCTTCATTTGTCCTGTTTCTTTCAGTTAAGTTTTCTGATCTCGTCTATGGTTTATGTCTGTGAAAGCTGTTGAGTATTCTCTGTTTATCTCCTACATTTCCCAGTGGATTTCTAAATAAAACCTTTTTCGTTTGACTCATTCGTCTCAAAGCAGATGACCAATCACGACACATTGTGCTTTTTTGAAGGAGGGGCTTCATGGAGGCGTAAACTAAACAGTGTTACTGACTGGGAAGAGAGGTGCTGCAATAATCTAAAATATGTAGAAAAATAATGTGTTTTTTTAACTTTCAAGTAGTAAACCCCAAAAACTAAATCAACACTTTAAAAAGGCATAGCTAGTATGGACACTTCAGTAAATCATTGATTAAGTTTCTCAGAATCTGGAGCAGATCAGTGAAGTCAACGTCTTCATAATGCGTCACTGAATCATCGCAGCACAAAGGACCCCCTTTACCAAACCACCGAGCTTTTGAAGCAGGAATACGCCAGGGATTGGCTAACGCATTTCCCTTTCTGCACTCATCATATCTGAAACTGCTTGTGTAGAAATATTGATGTTTTCTAAATGCATTCCTGAATGCCATCTCAGCTTCAAATAAATAATCGCTGACATCATTCTGTTCACATGAAATGATTAAACCTCTATCGTTATTGACTGTTCAGAACCTTGACTGCATAATAAGACTTGCCTTTAATAATCTCAGGATTTGGCAAACTAACACTAGACTGCATCTATTTGCTGCGTGATTAGTTTTCCTTTCACTGATATGACTCATCAACACCTTTCAAAGCTCTAAAATAACAAACACATCTTAGCTCATATACTGACCAATCCATAGAGATTGAACATGGAGGGACAATACAATATGACCTATAAATTAGTTTATAAAACAACACTTCCGGCGCTTTTCGGTGCTTGTGCAGACAGAAGCGCCCGCGCCCTCAGAGTAGTTGGACGTGAGTCATGTGACTGATTACAAGAGGTAAAAACTATATAAATACTGGTTTTCTCACACAACACACACGCTCGTTTTGTGTCTTAGGCCATCAATGTGTACTTCCATTTACGAGTCATTAAATCATGTTTAATTTGGACTCTGTGCATGCTCTTTGAGGTGGTGACCATAGACCTCCATTATATGACTGACAAGAACGGTTTGACCTAAAATTATCAATATTGAAAATACTGTGGAAACAAAGACACCTACATCTTGGATGCTCTTGAGGTAAGCTAAAACATATCGAAAATTAATTTCAAAGTGAACTATCCCTTTAAGGCATTCTATGCGTGTATGTCAATCATCATTAGAGCGCCACCCTCAGGCTGAATAATGGAAGAATGTTAGACCTCTGCTCTGCCAAAAGTTTTCTGTATGTGTTCATTGATTAGAATATAAAGCTCACAAAATATTTATTATAATAAATGGCCAACTACTGGTATGGTAGCCTAGAAGTTAGTATTGGTATTATTGGATAAACATAATTTTAGAGGAACTAGTATGTCACCCAGCAGGACTCTTGAAATGTCATGTCAACTGGAAGAAGGCCACCAGCTGAGGCGAGTCTGAGCTCAAACATGAGATTGGTGCAAATGTCAGCACATAGAGACATGCAGACTGTGACTCATTAAACCCTCAGCCCTGCATGCATGTGTATTTGCTAACAGGAGAGAGACCATGAGGGCAAGATAGTGATGGATAGAGAGAGGGAAAGACGGTTTAAAAAGTATTTGTAAATACCAAGCAAGAAGAAAGATACATAATTATACAACAGGGCCGCCGTTTTCAGCCCTGCATCTTAGTTTGGTATTTTGCAAAACAGTATCCATAATCAGTATTCAAGTTATTCCAAACAAGAGCGAGGCATGGAAGCAGCCATTCAAAATCTCACCCAGGAATGAGTCAAATTAGGACTCCAGACGCATTACCATGGCAACAAGCTAAAACCAGGAGCTTGATAGATGAAGGAAAGAATGGGACAGGCGGTGTCCCTCCAGGGTGGGTCTAGATTACAGAGACCCTTGCCTCAAAATGTGATTTTTCATCTTTCAAAACAGTGAAGGGTACATGTTTATGCCTGTGCACAGTGTTCTGGAGAACATTAAGAACGGTCACAACAGTGATGTTGAATGGGAAATGATTAGCTTGAACTCACCTTTTGATGACCTGGAATCATTCACACTGTTTAAAATTGTCTTTGTTGTGTATTTTACATCTTTGTGTTATGTATGTAACAATATACTGGATCAAGATCAAGATGAGTCTAAATAATTATGTTCCATAAACCAAGCCAACTAAATCTGCAGATTCATTTCAGATCATCTTGTGCATGATCTCTGAACTCTGAAAGCATTTGAAATGTCGTAAACAGATAACTGATAATATATCATCATCGCAATCTAATAAATCGCAGGAAATCAGTTATCAATAGCATTACAAATCGATTACAAATACATTTTCAGAAGTTTGCATTTTCAGGCCTCCAAAACACTGTTGTCGCATGATGTCATGTAAATAAAAAGTTTTCCGTTTTTAGTTGAAAATGGTGTTGTATAAAAACGGCATGCATATTACGTTTTCAGTCTATGGCACGTAGTGTTTCTTTACAAAGTGACATCGCCAACTACTGTCCTGGCAGCAGAATACGGCGTTTCGCAACATTTCGTCTCGTTTTGAAAACATTGTCGTCTGTATGCGAAAAACTCAAAGGAAACATTTCCATTTTTAGTAGGCCTACATTGTTGTTGTGTAAATGTACCAGTAGTGTACAAGTTCAATGCCACAAAAGACCGCCTACTCTCCACCTACAGACCAAATAATGTAATGTGAACATTATTGAAAGCGCGCCATCCAGGCGGGATTTAACAGCCCGTTCTCATCCCAAGGCGTCATATAGTGACGCTTTTGACAATGCGTATACATCCAACGCACATGGCACCCTTTAGTGTCAATATGATACGCATATATATTTGGGCCAGAAGGCGCCTCCTAGTGGTCTAACCCTAACCCTAACCCTACCCCAGACCTAAACCTACCCATAACCGAAGCGTGTTATATTGACGCTAAAGGGTGCCATGTGCGTTGGATGTATACACATTATCAAAAGCGTCAGTATATGACGCCTTGGGATGAGAACGGGCTGTTAAATCCCGGTTGAAGACCTAAGTTTGGTTTGAAGAAGAAAACGTACTAAGCACAATGTACTCTCACCATTCCTGGTTTCTAACACACACTCGGCGTTCGGTGTGGTCTTGCAGCTGCCAGAGCAGAAACGAAAGCTGCTGCTCTCCGTCTGTTTTTCCATAGTCTAGAGTCGCATTACTATGTAAATTGCTTGAGATTATTTTGTCCATTAGATCAAAATATCTGAAAAACCCTCCCCTCGAAGAAATCAGGACATCAAGTGGTTGAAAGTGGACAAAAGAGACGGATTAAAACACCAGGTGTAAAGGGGAATGTGTCTCCCTTGTCAACTTGTGACCAAATCTTAATACCAGGTGTAAACAGGGCCCCAGATGGAAAACAAAAAACAATATCATGCAAAATATTGTCTTAATGAAAATGAAAATGGTTACGTGTTGGGTTGGGGGATAGAAAAAAATCGTTAGCTCAGTATTAAAAACAATTGAAGTTGATGGAAAGTTACCAACATGAAAGAAAAACAAGCGTGTGTATGTGTGTTTCTTCTGACACACACACTAACACACAGGGTTTAGATGTCATCAACATCCCAGATTAAAATAATAATTACAATTCTTTAATGCATAAATTAATCTAAAAAGAAAAATATAGTGTGTATCCTGTAATTAGCATAAGAAAAGATCATATAAAACATTTTGCGTATTGGAGTGTGTTAAAGTCGTCTTACCTGTTGATATTTCAGTGATTACTCATTGATGATAGGCGAAGTCTTGCAGCAGTTCTGTTTGAAACGACACAAAATGGATCTTTGCATACGAGTTAGAACAGTGACAATTGTATCCTCAGTAAGACACGCTCACGCTCAGTGACACGCTCCTCACCTCAGATTCGCCTCCCTCTCTTCACTCTTCTTTCACTCTCCCTGCCTTCCCTCATTCTCTCTCTTTTTCTCGTTCTATCTGTGCCTCAGCTTGGGGGCTTGTCATCTGATTGAGTCTGTTTACCTCTCACTACATGCTGTCCATTCAGAGAAGATAAATATAACGTCCCTGATGAAGACTTTCCTGAGGACAAGGTGCACTGCAGGGATATGTGTGTGTGTGTGTGTGTGGTCTCTGTGCGTTATTAAATTCTAGGAAACCATCAGCATCAAGGACAAGGTTACGAGCAGAATACACTCCATGCATTAGCGCCATCTCCCTCCCTGCCTCTATTTTACCTCTTTCAATTTCTGTCATTCTCTCTTCATTCACCCCCGGGGCAGTTCCATGTCTTCGGAAGACGAGAAGTGAGCGAAACTCAAATCTTGAATCTCCACAGCAGTGTTGTAGTAGTCGAGACCACCTCACTCGAGTCCGAGTCGAAACCGAGACCAGAGAGAATCGAGTCCGAGTCAAGACCAAATCCATAGAGAGTCGAGTCCGAGTCGAGTCCGAGACCAGAGACGGTCGAGTCGAGACCGAGACCAGTGAGGGTTGATTACCTAATTTACTTTTATTTAATTTTAAAAATTTAAAATTATTATTTTTTTTTTACTGAATTTACTTAGAGTTTAAAAAATATGATCAGTTTAGGGTAAAAAGGCCACATAGTAGGTGGTGTTAAAAGTAATTTTATTACAATTTGTCATGCACAGTTGCGCACTAGAAAATCACCAATCACTGGGCGTGTCAATCAATTTAAAGAAATATTTTATTAACATACATGAATAATCATGAAAAATATTTTGAATTGAACTCGAGTGGACTCGGGAATAAGTCCAAGTCCTAAAAAAAAAAATGTTCAAGTACGAGTTAATTCCGAGTCCAAATGCACACAAGTCAAGACCAAGACCATTAAAATATGGTCTCGAGACCGAGTCCGAGAGTCTCGAGTACTACAACACTGCTCCACAGAACCCCCGTCATTATCAACCATTGAAATCATCACGAAAATTAAAACTGATGGTATATCATGGTCATTGTGGAAATTCATAGATGTTAGTGTAAACAGTAATATCTTTCAACAAAATGTAATCGCCGCTTGAAACCACCTGTTTCCCTATTCACAGTTGACGTCACTTAAAGCCTCACAGGCTATTGGTTAAAGGTACATGCAACTTTTTTTTAATGAGTCAATACACCATCAATCCTTCTTTCCAAAACGTGTTTTGTGCTATCGTGAGCCTATTATAGATGTTTATACTTTAGACCTGATGGGATATTTTTCACAAGCCTGCTGACCAAAAGAGAATTCAACAGAGATCGTAATAAAACAAGAATCAACATTGGCTTGGCTTTTCTGAGAGAGTGAGACCTGGGGGATTTTAAATGTTGTAAAAGCGATGCGGAGATGGTGTTTTATTACTCAACAGGGCAGTAAGGTATTTTATTAAACAGATAAACAGCCATATGTAGAGTTCATTAAAGCATTATCTATTGTGAAGGGTCATTTCATTATTGGAATTTATTTTCAAGGAAGCACCGTGTCTATACAGTAACGTCTTCAGCTAGACAGCTTGAGATCCACTTCCATCTAAACTGGGTATATCTATGTTATATGTGACTCTGGATCACACAACTAGTCACACGTGGCATTTGTGGCAATAGCCAACAATACATTGTATGGGTCAAAATTATCGATTTTTCTTTTTTTTTTTATGCCAAAAATCATTAGGATATTAAGTAAAGATCATGTTCCATGAAGAGATTTTGATATTTTTCCTACCGTAAATATATAAAACATCTATTTTTGTATGCTTTAAAGGGATAGTTCACTTTGGAATTAATGTTTGATATGTTTTAGCTTACCTCAAGGGCATCCAAGATCTAGGTGTCTTTGTTTCCACAGTAGTTTCAATTTTGATATTTTTAGGTCAAACCATTGGAGAAGTTTCCAGATTTTCAAATAGTTGTATCTCGGCCAAATATTGTCCTATCCTAACCATACATATATTCAGGTTCTGCAAATCTTAGTAAAATTGAAAATATCCTGTTTCCCATAAAAGGATTTGTTAAAGTCGTTAAAGACCTGAAAAATAATGATGTTAATCTTTACATAAACTAATAATTATACATTTCAAATGAACCCAGTTTAATGCTTTAATTGCTTGTTCATGATAACTAACGCATCAACTAATTTAAATGTAGTAAAGTGTAGCTAGCTATATTATAAACAGTGTTGTGCAAGTTACTTCCAAACTGTAATACATTAGGTATTACTTGTTACTGTTATTTAAAAGTAATTCATTACCTTACAATATTACTGTCCCAGAATTGTAATGCGTTACATTACTCATGTATTACTTTTGAGTTACTTTCACCAAAATAACTAAGTAGAACTTAACTTTTGGGCTGTAACGATATGCAATATGAAACCGAAATCGCGATTCGCCACACGACTCAGATCCACGAACCTACAGAATCGCGACAAACCTCGTCCAACTCCAGCGTTATTCTCCTTACCGTCCAGATCCAATGCTGCCTTATCTTTAAAATAGGCTATTAGTATTATTTAAAGTTAACATTATAAAATACGTAGACCTACACCACAAAACTAGTTGAGGATAAATTATTTAAAATTGGGGGAAGTCCAGCATTATGGACATGACATTTGCAGTCAACTTGAAATAAAAATTCTCAGAAAATGCATGTATTGAAACGTATTTGGCTACTTCCTTAAAGGACTCCAGACATTAGACAAATATCAGTCTATGTTTTATTTTTAATATTAGGGAAAAGACACATGTGACACACGTGCGAGACAAAAACGTGACACACGTGCGTGACAAAAAAATAGGAGGCAAAATATATTTTTTGTAATTCTGTTAATTACACTGCGCTAATCGGATGAGGAAGGGTTGGCTCTCCAGTCTCCATAGAACTTAAAATATTCATTTTATTTTAGTTTTCGTGTTCGCATTTATGAGGAAAAAACAATGTTACAGACGCGACCGCTCTGAACTGGCACTAAAAGACTGCTTTAAAACTTTCACATAGTCTGTTGCCTTTAAGAAGTAAAAGCAGACAATACACTGTAATACAACTGTAATACAAGCCTCACTGAACATGTAACGAGTAAAATATTACTGAAAATTGATTAGTAATGCCTTACACTACTGCGTTACAGCAAAATGTAATATCTTACTGTAATGTATTACCTTTGTAATGCGTTACTCCCAACACTGATTATAAAGTGATACCAAAACCAATTTGGAATTGAAAAATCAATGAGACCTTTAAGGAAAGTAGTACGCAATGCAAGTCTTCATCAAAACAGATAGAATGTATTTTTGTTATGTGAATCAATTTGAAATAAATACAAGCAGCTAGACATTAACATGTGCAGAATCACATCTACCGTAAACCATACTTCGTAGCATCTGCTTTTATCAAAAAAAGAATACTCCTAATAACAAGTGTCCATCGTTAAAGACCGTCACATTCACTTCCCTGTAACGTTATTCTCTATTCTTCATGTTCCAGTGTGACTGATCATTGAAGCAAAGGATGCAACAGGTCCATTAAGCTCACACCACAGTTTCTCGGGCTGGGTTTGAGCACTGGCTCTCAGATGGTCCCTCCCCTAATGTGTCTGACTGTCCTGCAGGAGAATCCACTTCAAGAGACCCCATACTGGAGCAGGACTCCTCCTCCAGCGATCTGTTGTTCTCAGCCTCCTCCAGGGGTAACTGAAGGAACTGAGGCAGCATTAGATGTTCTTTCTTCAGGAGACCCCGCTGATCATCAGCACTGCAGGTCTGTGCTCGGTTTAACAACTCCACCAAACCTGAAAGTCCCAACACACTTAGATCAGCAGGTTGCGTTCTACGGTACTGTAAAGACCGGCGAATAGAAACGAGGTAATCATCATTTACCCTCCATGTCATAGGTTCTCCTCAATCCAGGGTTCTTCTGTCGGGCGTTTGATCGAGGATTCCCTGTTGGGAACATGTTTGCATCCACAGCACCTCTCCGATCCTGGTGACAGATGCAGGAGAGGTTATACCTCCGAGAAGGACTGGAGGATATCAAGATTGTAAAGCAGCAGACTCACTTGTAATGAAGGAAGTGAGAAGCTCCCTTTTGGGCTGCTGGCTTGATCAACACCTGCAAGAGCGATGAGATTGATCAACAGCTTAATATATTTATTTAAGAAGACTGAGAGTAAGAATCAAATCATAATTTCCTAATGTAACATTTAGGACACAGACTGGTTATACAATTGTGTGCAGTTTGTGAGAGGTTTAATGCTGGGAAAGGGCCCACAACAACTACGCAAATGGAAGGTGACATGTTCTCCACAGAGGACCGCACAAGAGCACAAATCATTTGAATATCATTGTCAGTCCATTCAAGCTCAAAGGAAAATTCCATGCCTAATACAATATCTGTCTATCTATCTGTTTGTCCATCCATCTATCTCTGCCTTTCTGTCTGTCTGTCTGTCTGTCTGTCTATTTATCCACCCATCTATCCATGTGTCTCTGTCTGTCTTCCCATTCAATTCAGTTGTTCAGTAGAACTATGAAATTTCTTTCATCTATCTATCTATCTATCTATCTATCTATCTATCTATCTATCTATCTATCTATCTATCTATCTATCTATCTATCTATCTATCTATCTATCTATCTATCTATCTATCTGTGTCAATGTATCTCTGTCTGTCTGTCTATTTATCCACCCATCTATCCATGTGTCTGTCTGTCTTCCCATTCAATTCAGTTGTTCAGTTGACCTATGAAATTTCTTTCTATCTATCTATCTATCCATCCATCCATCCATCCATCCATCCATCCATCCATCCATCCATCTATCTATCCATCTATCTATCTATCTATCTATCTATCTATCTATCTATCTATCTATCTATCTATCTATCTATCTATCTATCTATCTATCTATCTATCTATCTATCTATCTATCTATCTATCTATCTATCTATCTATCTAGCTATCTATCTAACTATCTATCTCTGTCTGTCTATCTATTTATCCACCCATCTATCCATGTGTCTGTCTGTCTTCCCATTCAATTCAGTTGTTCAGTTGACCTATGAAATTTCTATCTATCCATCCATCCATCCATCCATCCATCCATCCATCCATCCATCCA